ATCAAATGCCCCATATACTTTGTTGGGATTGTGGATAAGTGAAATACATGTTAGCCTACATAATAAGACTATAATATGCCATAAACACACTGTCATGTTCATACACACCAATGCATGACCTAATAATACCCACACATGCCACATATCTACTGACACTTGCTTCATAGAACAGCAATTTCCATTTAGCTCTTCCATATAAGCCCTCAATGCTCTTAATAGAAACCATTAATCAGTCTTCCATATAGGTGAATGCTATTCTTTTGTTTTCTTTTTTTTTTATATCTGAGACAGAGTAATTTTTGCAACCAACAGATGTCACTATTCATATAGCCTGCCCTGCAATAACAAACTGAGGCCTCAAGTTACATGTCGAGGAGGATATGACTACTATGAAATCAACTGTAACCATATATATGTGCACTTACACTTTATGAAAAAAATTTTTTTTTTTGAAGAATGTACTTATTGCTCTTTTCTAAGTAGGAATGAGGGCTGGAATTACTCCTTTAATGATATGGTCAGGAAAAACAAGGCTTCTTTTCTGTCATTTAATATAATTGTTATTCACTTAGGGTGAATTCGGGTAAATTGGGCCACTTTTTCCCATTGACATTACCTGAGCTAACCTTGTTTAAAATCGATAACCGTCCTTAATTAATTAGCCTCCATAGGCCATATTTGTCACAGGCATGATTTGTGATTTGTTTGCTCGCAGCACTTTAGAATAGTCCCGTCAACCTTGTGACTCTAAATTTTCACACTAGTCTTGTTTTGATATTGTTGTCATTAATCAGTCTCCCATATAGGTGAATGCTATTCTTTTTTTTTTCTTTTTTTTTATATCTGAGACAGAGTAATTTTTGCAACCAACAGATGTCACTATTCATATAGCCTGCCCTGCAATAACAAACTGAGGCCTCAAGTTACATGTCGAGGAGGATATGACTACTATGAAATCAACTGTAACCATATATATGTGCACTTAAACTTTATGAAAAAAAAAAACATTTTGAAGAATGTACTTATTGCTCTTTTCTAAGTAGAAATGAGGGCTGGAATTACTCCTTTAATGATATGGTCAGGAAAAACAAGGCTTCTTTTCTGTCGTTTAATATAATTGTTATTCACTTATAAATTGGGTAAATTGGGCCACTTTTTCCCATTGACATTACCTGAGCTAACCTTGTTTAAAATCGATAACCGTCCTTAATTAATTAGCCTCCATAGGCCATATTTGTCACAGGCATGATTTGTGATTTGTTTGCTCGCAGCACTTTAGAATAGTCCCGTCAACCTTGTGACTCTAAATTTTCACACTAGTCTTGTTTTGATATTGTTGTCATTAGTATTTTTGCATTGTGGGACGAGAAACTAGGGAAAAATCATTGCTATTCTTTTGTTTTCTTTTTTTTTTATATCTGAGACAGAGTAATTTTTGCAACCAACAGATGTCACTATTCATATAGCCTGCCCTGCAATAACAAACTGAGGCCTCAAGTTACATGTCGAGGAGGATATGACTACTATGAAATCAACTGTAACCATATATATGTGCACTTACACTTTATGAAAAAAATTTTTTTTTTTGAAGAATGTACTTATTGCTCTTTTCTAAGTAGAAATGAGGGCTGGAATTACTCCTTTAATGATATGGTCAGGAAAAACAAGGCTTCTTTTCTGTCATTTAATATAATTGTTATTCACTTAGGGTGAATTCGGGTAAATTGGGCCACTTTTTCCCATTGACATTACCTGAGCTAACCTTGTTTAAAATCGATAACCGTCCTTAATTAATTAGCCTCCATAGGCCATATTTGTCACAGGCCATTTATTGGGTTGAATGATTTGTGATTTGTTTGCTCGCAGCACTTTGGAATAGTCCCGTCAACCTTGAGACTCTAAATTTTCACACTAGTCTTGTTTTGATACTGTTGTCGTTAGTATTTTTGCATTGTGGGACGAGAAACTAGGGAAAAATCATTTCACTACATTGCATCACATGTATATGTATGTGACAAATAAAGAACCTTGAACCTTGTACCTAATGATAATAAAAGAAAAAGTTTAGTGACTGGTCCCGGAGGATCAAAAGAACAAAATATGATGGCAATGACAATGAGACCACAGGAAGTGGTCTTGTACCAAAGTAACCACCTTCATACGAAAAGCAAACTACAGAGTGAGGAACACTGAAAATAGTGAGAAAAAATACCTTTTAAACATTGGGAAGGTCTTACTCTAGCACTGTGGGACAGTATATTTCATTTACAAATCAACAGATAGCTAATATTTATCGACATAATAAGAAATATGCTAAATAAAGAAATAAAAGCGGAAAGAAAGTATGAGAGCAAGCAGATATACACTCCCCTTTCCACTGTTTTCGGAACCACCCAAGCGGCAACCTCCTATGGAAAGCCGGTGTAACATTTAATCTATAAGCCGTACTAGTATCTATTTTCATGGTACTAGTACCTATTTTTTAGATACTAGTATCTTTTCCATTAAGTACTAGTACTTATTCATTAGGTACTAGTGCTTATTCTTTAGCTACTAGTGCTTATTCTTTAGGTACTAGTGTTTATTCTTTAGGTACTAGTGTCTTTTGTAAAGTTACTAGTACTTATTCATTAGATACTAGTACTTATTCATTAGATACTAGTACTTATTCATTAGATACTAGTACTTATTCATTAGATACTAGTACTTATTGATTACATACTAGTACTTATTTATTAGATACTAGTACTTATTCATTAGATACTAGTACTTATTCAATAGATACGTTTTGTAAAAATCGACGCGTTTCAAAAAGGCGGGGCATAGAGGAGAAACAATAATGTACATTATGTGGAAAATAATGTGTTTTTTTAACTTTAAACCGCATAAACACATTTCATTACACCAAATACACAAAATAATGTTCTTTTTAGCAGCATCATATGACCCCTTTAAGATATCTGAATCGTACCTGCTCCTAGTCAAATGTGGTGTTGTGTGACGTGAGACTAAATTTACTCAGCCCCTCCCCGACTAATGTTTAGTGCTAACTGCTAAGAACAATGGAATTATACAACAAAAACATGAAAAATAGTAGAAATAAAAGCATGACGGACAAGAACAATGCTTCACAATCAGATGCAGTCAAAAAACGTGAAGGCTGATTTTAAAAAGATTACAATTTAATAAAAGTTTAACTGGCATTGATGACATTTATTAGTAGGTTACATTGCGTTGTGTATGGATTCACGTTTACTTGTGTCGTTATGGCAGCTTGTTTCCGCCATGGAATAAAAAATAAAAGTAATTTGCAGCTTTTTATCTTACAATTCTGACTTTTTTCTCAGTCAGAATATATATATATATTCTCAGAATTGCGAGATATAAACAATGCGAGTTATAAACTTTATAACTCACAATTCGTTGCATTGTGTTTAGCTGCATCTTGCAATTCTGAGAAAAAAAGTCAGAATTGTGGAATAAAAAGTCGCTATTTATTAATTATTTCTTTATTTAGTGGCGGAAACGAGCTTCCATAGGAAATAGCCCACAAGGTGGGAGTATTGCATTTTATTATAGCAAGAGATCCATGATGATGATATTCTGCTGTGTTCAATGATGAGCGCCAATGTATTCTTTTAACATTATATCAAATGTTGCAACAGCTGACATGAGGCCTATACAAATCCTTAGCTACTGATTTTACATGTGTTCGTTTGTAAATAAAGGCTAACACAATTTAATCCATGTCTCAACATTACGATATAGAATAGGGCAAAAGCCTGTCTGAGTCCTCTCTGTGTAGTCTACTACTTTTAAACATGCTCCAGCTACATTTTTATTTCCATACTTTTGAATTACTTCTGTATAAAACAGTTTAAAATGACCCAAAGACGCAGGACCTTTATTATACAACTCTTAGACAAAATGGCGGATGACAACAGTTTCCAAGCTAGGATTGGTTAATAAAATGTTTAAGGTGGGGCTAAGCAAAGGTGCATTTGCATGCACATTTTAGATATTTAAAATGACCCAAAGACGCAGGACCTTTATTATACAACTCTTAGACAAAATGGCGGATGACAACAGTTTCCAAGCTAGGATTGGTTAATAAAATGTTTAAGGTGGGGCTTAGCAAAGGTGTATTTGCATGCACATTTGAGATATCTTTAAAGGAATTTTGACTAGTCACATTGTTAATTCCAGATATCTACATTGAAATTCTTCCTAGTCACAAAGCTAAATGCAGATATCTCCAAAGAAAGATCTTCCTAGTCAAAAATCTGATTGAGATATCCATAATTAAATTGCAGATATCTTTAAATGAGTTTTGACTAGGAAGAATTCCAATTCAAGATATCTCTTATTAAGTTTTGCCTAGTCAAAAATCCAATTCAAGATATCTACAACTGTAATTTGACTAGTAATAAATTACTTTCAGATATCTACAAATGTATTTTGGATATCTTTAAAAATGATGAATTAAAGATCTTGAATTGGATTATGACTAGTCAAACACCAGTTAGAGATATCTTGAATTATAAATTTTACTAGTGTTAATTCAGTTAGAGATATCTCTAATTTAATTATCACTAGTAGAATTGTAATTTGAGATATCTCTAATTAGAATTATGCCTAGTACAAAATCAATTATAGATATCTTTAATTACAATTTCTACTAGTCAAAACTCTTTTGTAGATATCCGAAAATATTTTCCAATGGAAGTCAATGGAACAATACGACTAGTCGTAATAGCATTGTAGATATCTCGAATGTATATTATGACTAGTCATAATCACATTGTAGATATCTTAATTCCAATTACGACGAGTCAAAATTGCAGAATAGATATCTGGAATTGGAATTTTGACTAGTCAAAACTAAATTATGACTAGTACAGCAAGGAGTATTTAATGCTAAAACGGCTTGCCATATTTATACAGACTATGGGAACCACCCTTCACAGGTAACCTCGATCACGTGACCAGGACTGGGCTGTTCATGACGTCACGCCCGCTCTGCCTCGTTCTGGTCAGCTGATGCTCGCGACGGAGAGGATTCAGAGACAGCAGCACTCCATTTCAGCTGTTTAAACTCAGTAAGTTACATTGTTCTTGCTAAAATAACTGTATTCTCACTTAATAACTGTTTTGAAACGTCCAGTGAGTTGTATTTGGAAGAGAATAGCGTGTTTTCTTTCAGCTTTTGGAATGCGTTGTTGAGTAAATACGTAATACGTTATCTGAGGTAACAACCTGTCGGTGATAATTAGCATTAGCGCTTTAACTCTCTGTTACTGCTGTTTACATTTTCAAGTTTAAGTTTGAAACTTATAAGAGTCCCCTTCCATTTGTTACAATAAAACACTGAAGTGTATAAAGTGCCACTTTGCCCTACTAACTACTTGTTGACGCATAAGCTTGGGTTGACAGCTACACTTATGTCCTCCGTCAGCAGGCTAGTTAATAAGCCGGTGTCTGCGTTTACCCCTTCTTACAGTTCAACGATAAAATACGACTTTATTGCCGAAGTAATTTCCGCTAGGTGTTTAGTATACAATACTCTGAAAAAAGGGCTCAGAAAACTTTGACTGCTCACCATTTAGCAAAGCAGCTAATATACTGCAAAAAAGAATCTCTATGTGTGAATGGCATCTCTGTATGACATTATGTTGTGGAGGGAAAACAGTGTAAAGTGAAAATAAATAAAATATAAGATAAAACTAAGTGAAATCATAAAAACATTTTATTAAAGTAAAAAGTAATTAATAAATAATACATCTAACTTAGTGCAGTAGAAAAAAAACGTAATAATGTAGCGTAATAGAAACGAAACATTTTCCAAATAATATTTTACACATTTTTCACAGTATACATTGGGTTTTTATAAATGAAACTATGTAGATGCTGTTTAGGTCTTAGGACAGGGATTTTTTGGGTGAGGATGACAATTTTTAGGGGCTCTAAAAGATTGAAAACCCTTGTTGTATGCTACGGTATTGTGCTGATAGGTTGGACAACCATAGCTTCAACAATTCCCTGGGTTTTTGAGGTGATAAAGACTTCTATTCTATTCTGTTCTATTCTATTGCAGCTTTGGTTGAGTCAGCAGTACAGTTACTCAAAAGAAACCTGATTAGACGCCCTGCCACAGGAGTTCACATTATTAATATGATGTCTCATTGTAGGGTCTGTTTTTGAAAGACCTTGTATTGGTCCACTGCACTGATACCTGATGATGCTGGGACGGCTGTATGTAGTTGTACAGGAGAATGGAAAAAAGAGCAGGATACAGAGAGACAGCTGAAAGAGTATCTGCATCTTGATAATTCCCCAAGGTGCTGCATTATTCAGCACGTGTGGAATTACCCATGAAACAAAGACTAGGCCTACTTACGTCCCATTTCGACCACTTAAACGTTGTAAAATGGACCTAGCAAAAATATGAAATGGCTTTTTTTGCTCTGTCGATTTTCTTAACGTGCCACAAAGTGCCTCTGTGTTGGTAATGTTTAGTATGGAGAGTCACATGGCACAGCTTAATCCATAATCCGCTCGCTGTGAGTGGAGTCCATCGTACAATCATTCTTAATGAATAGTAAACTTCTTTCAGTGAAGGACTGCTTTGAAGAATGGGCTACAATTTACAATTCACTCCTTTGATTGGACCACATGCATTTCACTGAGAAGATCAGGATTTGCTCTAGGAGAGCACATTCCATGCAGTTGTAGCGGTAGGTCCAGGGAAAGTAAAGTTCATCGGGTTATTCTGTGTAATCGCTGAATGCTCCTGTGTGTTTTCCTCATTCTTCTGAGATAGCATGTGCTTATTCTCTCAGCTGTTTGGAGCATCACATGCCATGAGAATGGTGAAACAGCAAAGAAGCGTAACATTCTTTGCATGTCCTCTGGGCACAAGATTGTGGAATCTTTCCTAAGGCTTTTTACTGGATTGTCTTATTGTTTATGAGCAGTCATTAGTTCAAGATAGTCTAGATGGCAATGCATAATGCTCTTGGTGTTATGAAATGAGGCATAAGCTTTGCCTTGAATAGAAGTAGGACTGGCCGATTAATCAGAATTTATTTGCAATTATGATTTTAGCTTTCAACGATTAAGAAAACAAGATAATAGGGATATAATTATTATTATTGTGCCACATTCCATTTTTCTTGTATATTTCCTTTCCTTTACAGCAGTGTGATTTGGGTCTACCCTCAATGTTTAGTAGGTGGTGCAAGTGCATTACAACATAGTTGGTCTTATTTTAGACTAATTAGATCTATCTATCTCGCTCTATATATATATAATTATTACATTAAAAGTTATGTTTTTTTTTAAAGTTATATCACTTAAAATATATAACATTGTATAAAACAAAATATAATTGAGCAGCCCTAGTTTGCAGTTGGTTTTTCATAGCTGCTGATCTGTTATTTAAAAGCAAGCTTCTTGTACAATACTGTCAGATAACCATTATATGTTAAGACCTTGAAAACAGAACATTCATATGATTCTCATGACTTGTAAACTATCAGCCGTGTCCAGTGAAGCTCAGCTCATGGTCACAGAGCATTTATCTGTGGCATCGTCATCTTGCTGGACTGTGAGCATAACAGAATTTGCACAGAATCAGTAAACAGATCAGAATTGTTAAGGTTAAAAATGCTGACGTGCTGTTTTAAGGGCTGCCTTCCTTCCTTTTGGTTAAAGTAAACTCTACATTCGCACAATCAGTGTGGCTTAACCACTGTGCTTGGTGTCAAACAGAAATATTACTCTGTTTATGTGAAACCTTTTGTATTTATATTATTATCATTTGTGTTTTCTTCCTCTTCCCTCAGACATTCTCCCCTTAGTGCATTGGGTAGAGAACAGTGCATTATGGGGGAGCTGTTTCGCAGTGAGGAGATGACTCTGGCCCAGCTCTTTCTCCAGTCTGAGTCCGCCTACTGCTGTGTCAGTGAGCTGGGGGAGATCGGCATGGTGCAGTTCAGAGATGTAAGTATAGACCACGTCATAATTCACTGGTTATTAATTCCTGGAACATTCACTGTTCATTGTCAAACCCATTCAAAACAACAGAGGGTGGCGCTTCAATTCATAGTGACTCATGGCAGTAACATTGACGTCATTGTCAACAAATGTCAGCATAACTGAAGAAATAAGCATCAAAACTTATACACATTCATAGACTTTCTTGTGTAGTCTACAATAATATGATGCAAGGAAACTTCAGGTAAACATTTGATGCCCTTTGAGAAAAGTTGCCTCCTTATTTAAAGATCCAGTATTTGCGCTACATTTATGTTTATTTTCATATCATATTTGCTCTGTTTTAGCAACGCTCTAAGAGTTTGCACTACTCAGTTTGTTTAGACAGTTTTTGGTTATAAAAATGCCACTACCAGAAATGCTTCAGGGCCAGACATGTACAGTGGTGTTGTAATTCCTTCCTTACTTTTAATGTCCCTGCAGCATTGATGATAATGCGATAGTACAGATGTGTTGCATACAAGATTTTGAGCATTGCTTTACCATGCAAACTTGATTTCACTGCTACTGGAAAGGGTAACAGATAGAGAGCAAAGAATATTCAGTAGAGTGTGAGACTAAGACCAGATGAAATTGAATTGGGGAAGATTTAAATGGCTATCAGATACACAAACATTATGACCTCATACAGGAAGTGATTGTGAAACATTGTTCAGTGTGGCCTAAGAGCACTCACTCATTCTTGAACCCTCATCTAGTTATTCACAGCCAACAGTGTTGTTTTTATTTCATGTGGATTCATTGATCCGTTGTAAATATGACTACTTTGCAGTTTCTCCTTACGCCCCTGGGTGTGAATGTGGCTTCCTTGTCTTTGAGAGAATGGTAATTGTATATTAATAGGTCAGTGACCTTTTCGCTTTCATTGAATTGCAGTTGAACCCCGATGTGAACGTTTTCCAGAGGAAGTTTGTGAATGAAGTCCGTCGGTGTGAGGAGATGGACCGCAAACTAAGTGAGTTATTGAGTTAGCATTGCTGATGTAGTGAGCTGAAAATCATTGCTGACACAGCATCATGAGTTCTGGTTAAATTCAGTGGAAAGATGTTCAAGAACACGTTGTTTCTCTCCTTTTCTGTTTCTGGCTCTGTTTTCTCTGCTTGGTCATTTTTTCTTTTCTTTTCAAGGATTTGTTGAGAAGGAAATCAAAAAGGCTAACATACCTGTTGTAGACACAGGGGAGAACCCAGAGGTCCCTTTTCCACGAGACATGATTGATTTGGAGGTATAAAAACTTCATGAACAACTCAAAATAAGGCTGAAAATGAGAATTAGAAATAAAAAGAACCCATAATTAAAATCGCTTAGTTTAGAAACATTATGAGCTGCCTACAGAGGCACTGTATCAAGGTATGATGAAAAGTTTATTCCTAAATTCTAAGGCAGCATTGTATCCTTTACTGAGAAGGCAACCCATAAAACATTGTGATAAGCACAGTGCTAAAACTCAGAGATGGTGCATGAGGAGAGAAGTTGCTGATTACAAATTTGTAAGTCTTTTGTTGCTTTGGATAAAAGCGTCTGCTAAATGATTAAATGTAAATGTAAAATATTCTTATGTCATTCAATACTGAAATTTTGATTAGAGTAGTTCATTAGGTTTAAACATATTGAATTATATGTAATCGATGTTCTTTTAAACTTTGTATTCATCAAAGCATCCTGAACGAAAAATATTAAGCACAGCATTGATAATAACAGAAAATGTTTCTTAAGCAGCAAATCAGCATATTAGAATGATATCTGAATGATCATGTGACACTGAAGACTGGAGTAATGACTTCTGAAAATTCAGCTTTGCATCACAGAAAAAAAAAAAAAAATCAAGTTTTGAATGCATTTAATCAGTTGTGTCCTTCTTTCACTTTTTGTAGGCCACCTTTGAAAAGCTGGAGAATGAGCTGAAGGAGATCAACACCAACCAGGAAGCCCTGAAGAAGAACTTCCTGGAGCTGACTGAGCTTAAGCACATCCTCAGACGAACACAGCAGTTCTTTGATGAGGTCTGTAATACCTCATCTCTTACAAAACCTTAATCCTTTAGAGTTTCCTGTGGTATTTCCTGAGGCATTTTACACGGTACATGATAGGCGGCAAGCTTTGCTTGCAATCTTGCAGTCTTAGTTGTCTTCTTCCATTTCACACACTCTTGAGAGGCGGTGTGAAACGTGCCTGTGCAACCACAACAATATCTGCTGCTGCTTCAGCTTGAGCAAAAATATGCTGCATCTGAACGGGGTGATTACTGTTATATTGTTTATGTAAGTGATGGCTAATGAAGCCATAAAATACTGCAATAAACCTCTCCTCAACGTTGTTCTTTGACCAAGTAAAAGCTAAATACTATTTCATTGGTTGTGAGTAAAATCACCTTGGATTGGTCAATGGCATGTGACATTTAAGAAAGCTTGCAGAAACTGTATTGTTGGGCTTAACTTTACTGCGGTGCCACTTTCTGTGTTGTTTTTCGTGTTGCCATGTTCCACTTTTCTTCCATTTAGCCTGAACTGGGAACTCACTGTTCCCCTTTACCGTGTAAAATGGCCTTTACTCACAAATGTCATACAGTGGTTGTATTTGAATACAAACCATCAGATCAAAATAATTAACACCATTCAGTAGTCAAATCAACAAACACTCTAATTCAAACAGAGGAACCATGTTTTTCCCCATGTCTGTGATAATGTTCAAGCTGACAAAGACAGATGCATGTCTAACAGATTGAAAGGCCATTCTCTGAATTCCTGGTTTTCAGGAATTTCAGCCGCTGGTGATGAAGTCACACTGCCCTTCCCAAGACCAGTTCTGCAAGGTGTTCGACTCCCTATTCACACGTTTCTTGAACCTGTAAAAAAAAAGCTCAATCTTTTGTGCCCATGATAATTGGCTACTACCAGGGTGTTTCTTTTCTGTCTTTCAGCCTGTTGGAGTTCTTTGACATTTCCTTTTGATTTCTGTGCTTCCTGGACACTGATCTGTTCAGAGAACATTTTATTGTGATATATTTCTTTTACAAGTTATAAAAGATAATTTGAGAGCAAGCAGTTAAGTTGTTAGCTGTCATGCAATCATTCACTTTACACTTCCACTAACTTGGGCTCTCTCACAGGCTGGTGGTGGGTGGTGTGAGGGTGGTGTGGCTCAGTGGTTAAAGAAAATACAGCTGTTTCAAAATATTCAAGGACCAATCCCTGTGCTACAATCCCAGTGCCCTTGAGTTAGGCACATCACCATGGTTTTCTCTGTAATAACATGTATTGTAATTTGCTTTGGGTAAAAGTTGTCAGCTGATTGAGTATTATTAAATATCAAGATTTACTCTAATAAATCCTCTAAATAAATCAATTTTTAAACAGTAATTTCATTGACAACTTACGTTAAACATACATTTGTCTTATTTATGTAATATGAAAGAAGTACTGTACCTTAACATGTAGAGCTTTGAACTATTACAACATCTATCAATATTAAGTTAACTACAACAGCTTGATACCTTAATTTACCTTTGCCCGGTTGTATGTAAAGGGCCCTTGATTTGTTAGAAATCAATTTCCTGAAACAATATTATCAACACTACAATGAACTTTGATTCAAAATCAGATTATTTTTACAGGAAGAGATAAATAAATTAAATTATTGTTCTCTTTTCCTTTTTGTTAGATGGAAGACCCTGCACTTTTGGAAGAGTCGTCAACTCTACTGGATCCAAATGAGGTTGGACGTGCCGCTCCTCTTAGGCTTGGGTGAGTATGTCAGTTGGTTTGATCTCTGTCTTACTAAGCTATGTTATGGACAGCTAAAACATGGATGCTTCATATGTGGAAATTACAGTGCAGCCTGAACTCATTCTTTTGAAATGCTTTCAGTGTATCATTTTACCTCACAAACTGCATCTCTTGACGGTCACTATCACTGAAGCAGGCCTGCTTGAACACAAGAAATTCAATTTCTCTGTATGTGCGCATATGCTTGGATGAAACTGAGATGTTAATGGAGATTGCACACTTCCTGATCTCTGTTTCTGATCCGCCTGCCTTTTTTTTTTCTTTGCCACAGCTCTAGAAGAATGCATAACAGGTCTTTTAAATGGCTCTAAATGTAAGGGTATATGTTAGGGATGCAGTATCGGGCCCGATACTGAGCTCCTGTACTCGTACTCGTTAAAATGCCCCGATACCAAACGCCGATACCACACAGCATGTGATAAGTGCCATATTCAGACAATGAAACACCTACAAATGAACAACAGACAGCAGAATGGAGTTATTAGAGATTAAGGATGTCTACGAAGTATATGTATGCAATGAATATAACGTTAAACATTCAGTATTAACGCCTGTATAGCTGATGTGAGCGAGCTGATTAACAAAGCACGCTGAGTGGATTGAGCGCGCGGCGGCGCAGATGCGCGAGTTTGTCGAGTGAATATACCTTTCTCACAGACATCACTGGAAAGTGTGTAGTTCGGTCGGATATGTTCATACAGTGGACTACCAGTAAAACTGATACAAATTTGGGACCAAAAATTATTCAGACCGAGTCTGGGGGAAAAAAAAAATTAAGTTCAGGTTTGCATGAAGCTGGGTGACGGCATGCGATCGGCAAGTACCAAAAATAAAAGTATCGGTATCGGGCGAGTACTGGAAAAAGTGGTATCGGTGCATCCCTAGTATATGTGGATAGTAAATGCATCAATGCAGTTTCGTTGGTAGTAATATGGTCATGTTGTTCTGGATTGAGTTGTAAAAATCACAGTACAGAGGGAGAGGTAGCTTTTAAAATAGGTTTATGCTAGTAAAATTGAAGTAATAAAGATGGATTTAACACACATTCTTATGTAACTGCTGCTAATGCCAGCGGGTTTGTCATTGATCTGTGATCAGTAATCCTGGTATGCCTTTAATACTTAACATGAAACACACTTTTTCCATTTAGAGCACTGGATGAAAGGAAAGCACCATCAGAGGAGTTAAGAGATGAAAGTAAAGAGGAATGAGGACATATCTTAATATAATATAGTTTTTGCTATATAAGATGCAGATCAGTTATTAGATGGGGGCCGAAACATGACACAGTGACCAGATGGTAGAGTAATAGATGTGCAGATTACTGACATAATTCACTCACCTTTGATGCTGGTTGCAGGTTTGTTGCAGGGGTGATTGGCAGAGAAAGGATTCCCACCTTCGAGAGGATGCTGTGGAGAGTTTGTCGTGGAAATGTCTTCCTGCGACAGGCAGACATCGAGGACCCACTTGAGGACCCTGCCACAGTCAGTTTCCCCTGTGAAAAATAAAAATAAATAACTTTTAAGATAACTTTTCAAGATATAATTTGGATTATTAACTGTATATTTAATAGGAGCTTCCTCTTATGTTTTTTTTTTCTTTTCCTTTTTCCAGGGAGACCATGTGCACAAGTCTGTGTTCATCATTTTCTTCCAGGGAGACCAGCTGAAAAACAGAGTCAAGAAGATTTGTGAAGGGTACGAGAGCATCACTGCCCAGTCTCAATACAGAGTGACCAAAACAAAAGAAAATGGTTTGAGATTTTGAAAACATTACATTGTTTTCTGATTTTGTAGACTTTGGGTTGGAAAAAAAAATTTTTTTTGAAAGAAGATTCTTATGCTCACCAAGGCTGCATTTATTTATTTAAAATACAGGACAGTAATCTTGTGAAATATTATTACAATTTACAATATATTTAAATATATTTTTAAAAAGCCAAATTTTAAACATTTCTTATTATTATCAATGTTTGAAATAGTTGTGCATATTTTTGTGGAAACCATGATGCATTTTTCAGGATTCAAAAGAAGAGCATTTATTTGAAATGGAAATCTTTTGTAACAATTTTCTTTGTCACTTTTGGTCAATATAATGCATTCTTACTGAATAAAGGTATTAATTTCTTTAAAAAAAAATCTTACTCACCCCAAACCTTTGATAGTGTATTTTGATAGTGTAGTGTGTATTTGACATGTTCTTGAAATTAATGTATTCCATATTCATATATTTTACCAATATTTTTATGTTAGGTTTCGGGCATCTCTGTACCCCTGTCCTGAGACCCCTCAAGAGAGGAAGGAAATGGCAGCTGGAGTCAACACTCGAATTGATGATCTCCAGATGGTAAGACATAAGTGCAATATGTGCACACACATACACACACATTCTCTCACAAAGACTTATTTTTGCTTATGAGCAAAGATTATATATCTCTCTTTTATTTCTTTGGCCAAATAAGTGCATGTAGATACAGTCTTTAAGTTATTCTTTTTCTTGTATGAGGTGAGTTAAATCTTATGGATGCGTCCAGACCTAATCTAGTTCTGTTAGGATTGTTCTTTTTGTTGCTTCATTCACTCTGTCCACAAATCTGAATTAGTTTTCAAATCCTGCCACACTGTTTGCACTGTCATTTTACAAATGATGAAATCTGATCTGCTTATTCAAACGTTATCACCAATATCTGGTCCATCTGCGTCAGCTGCTATAGTAACAATGTAAGCACCGACACAATGGCGAGACCACCTGTTTGCAGTCTGAACAAAGTCGATATGTTCCCATCTGTGTTTGTGTGTGTCTCATCTGTTTCTATCCGAGCGGTATGTGAAAGAACAGTCCTCAGTCTGATCAGAGGTTCTTACGTCAGAGATGATAAAATTATGATCATAAAATAATATTTTTCTAAATAAGTTAGAAAAACAAAGCGTAGCTGTTTACAGAGTGACTAAAAGATTTAAACAGGAAAGCAAACAAACTCATGAATGCATGCTGCTGGTTTTGTAGTGATATGACTGAATACGCTTTGACAGTACATCAATTGATGCCATTTGCTTCATAAACTCCAACTTGAGTGGCGTAATGGAATTACATAATGAGTGTGATCAGAAACTGTGTGCTGTACCAAATACAGATTAGATTAGAGCAGGGTGGATTTCACTATCAGTAAAATAAATAATTAACCCTAAAATGGTAAGACCATAAAGAGACATCAGAAAATTAATTTATTGCTATTTTCCATCTTATTGGGACACAAATAATACAACTTGATCATTATTTTCAAAACATGACTTTTAATTTTGATTTTAATGTTTGTATCCCACAGGATACGTTGCCAGTTTGGGGGTATAAATTCACTGAAAACGGAACACTTGTTTATCAATGCTTGTTACAACATGGTTGTAATCCCTGAACGCTTTGGAATACAGACCTACGGTTGGTCTCTTTTTAAAGAAGACTCATAGCAGATTATTGCTGAAGTGAAAGCATTTAAAAAAAAAAAAAGAAAGTATAAAAAAGTTATAGAAGTTTAAGTTTGCAGTAAAGATAATGCAGTATACTATTTTTTAAATTGTATATAAAATAAATAATTTATAAAATATGTTGCACTTCAAATTGCT